TTACTAGATATTCATCAGAATGACAGAAATGAACAATTGAGAATACCAAATATTGCAGAGGTTTAAAAAAAAACTGGAAAAAAATAGTGGAAACTCTCATAGTAATATAAATTAATAAACCATTAAGGCAAACATTGGACGTAACCTGACAAACTGAAATATGTACATACCCTTATGCTCTCATATATTCCTTGAAACAAACCCTGAAAAAAAACCACATGTACATAGAATACAGATCCATAAATGTTCGCTCTGGCATTGCTTATAAGAGCCAGAAATGGAATAGCTTAATGTCTATCAGTAATTCAATGGATGAACGAATTGTGATGTATTCACATAATGAAATAGTATGAGGCAAATCAAAAAACGTTGTTCTAGACATAATATGGATGAACATCACAAAATAATTCTTAGAGGATGATTCCATTCTCATAAAGTTCAAAAAATGCAAAACTAAACATTAGTAGTCTGCCTAATAAGCAATAAATTCATCCTCATGTTAGTTTGGTAACATACAAGTTCTAAAACTGTAAATAAAAGTAAAGAAATGATCATCTCCCACTTCTGGGTGAAAAGAGCCAGAATTATACAGACATGTGGGGCAGGTATTTGGGGGGTGCTGGATATGTATTATTTCTTTCCCATTGGTAGTGATTGCATTGTATGTGTTTTTAAATTTTCACATAATTTTCATATACCATTCTAGTTTTGATATCTCACCATTTTTTAAATTGCCATAATTTGCCTGATCCTAGAGACTATTTTTTCTTTTACTGGGGAACTTCTTAGTGTTCTAACAGTGTGTGGCAAAGAATTTTGACAGCATGTATACTTTTTTGATTCAGATCTTTCATTGAATAAAAATATAATATTACCAATTCCATAGTCTTCACACTGCAATTCAAAAGAGATATTCTGTAGGTAGGTGATGAAAAGGAAGAGATACAATTAGGTCAAATAGAGGCTTAGTTTTCAGGGCAGGTAAGGATTTGGCACACAATGGACAATAAAAGCAGAATGTGGGAGTTTGTAGTGACAAAATAGGCAGTGGTTGCTGCTACCAGGGCTGACTCCGGGAGTATTTCTCCACCTTTAATCTTAGGGAAAGTTATTTATCATAGGCCACCTGGGAGATAAAATGTGGGTATTGTCAAAGTTAGGGGTTCCAAGACATTTTCAAGTCAGAGACATTTGGGTATGTGGTTAATTTTGTTTGAGGATGTCTCCCTTGGGAATTTCATCTTAAATCAGTTCAGAGAGCATTGGATGGAGCAAAGAGACCATGCTTAACTTTATTCCCTATAGACTGTATATCATGCCAGTACCCAGCACAATGTGAAATCATCTCTTCTTATATGTTTATTTTTCAGCAAATATTAACAGCAGATGCTGTGTCTGAATCTCTCCCAAGAATAAGGCTTCAGGTCAGCATACAGCTGGGAATGATTCTGAAGAATTCTTTGGTAGGCCAGCAAATAAATATACACCAAATAGAGAAATACTTCTTGAGCCCATGGTGTGGCCTATTTGAGGCCAGGCCCAGAGGATTGGTGTGTCAAGCCAACGAGCAGTGACCAGGTTCCCATCATGAAATAATCCCACTGTATCTTGGTCCCTCTCTCTTTATTGAAAGCAGTCTTAGCTATCAACAGTTGCCAAGTTTCACAAAATGAAATGCAAAGTACTAGGGTTTGCTGAGAATATCTGTATCTCTTCTGCTTACAAAGGCACTTGTGCAAAAAAGGGAGAAATCTGATCTAGTAATAAAAACAATAATGTAGCCATATTACACCACAAGATTTAGACAGGATCAGCTCCCTAGTTTTGGTTTTRCATTTGTTGACCACATGATCTGCAACTAGTAATGCAACCTCTCTTAACTTTTGATTCCTCACACCTAAATGTGGGTGATCTGTTTATGGGTATCCCATTAAACTCATGAAAACAAAATGAGGTCAGAGATGCAAAACTGCTTTGTTGACTGCAAGCCCTTATGGTAAGGACTCTTTTTAATCTTTTCCAATTATGCGGTTGATATTTATTATTCGTTAACCAAAAAACAACAAGAAAAGAACAATCCAAAGATCAAAAGTGCCTGAGGTTCAAAAAAAAGTCCCCATACAAATCTTAAGACTCCAGGAGTGACCACATTTGACAATTTGGGGCTTATCTTTATACATTTTATGATTCGTGTGTGTTGACAAAAAAAAGGATTATAGCCTACTAATCTGTAGAATACTATACAGAAATTTTTAATAACATAAATTGTTATATACTGACATGGAATAATATTTTATGTGAAAAGTTACAGAACAACATTTTTAGTGCAGTCTTTTTTTGCAGACAAAATAAGTAACTACCACAGGGAAGTGAATATTGCAATTTGCAAATGAGGTACTTTTAATTTCTATCTTATACAATTTCCACTATTATAATTTTTGTATGAATATATTTTTCTTACATATATTTTCACAGTAATTTTTAAAACCTGCAAGAAAAGTGAAGCGTATACCAACAAAATAAATACAATATGATACTACTGAAGATGTAAGTATACAGGCTACACTTGGAAAAAAAAGTTATGAAAGGAAAGAATACACACACACACACACACACACACATACACACACAAATTGGAACTAGGCACAGAGGCACATACCTGTAATCCCAAGTGCTTGGGAGGTTGAGGCAGGAGGATCACAAGTTCAAAGTCATCCTCAGCAATTTAGTGAAACACTCAGCAACTATGCAAGATCCTGTCTCAAAGAATACAAGGACTGGGGATGTCGCTCAAAAGTAAAATGGCTCTGGATTTAATCCCCAATAAGAGAAAATAAATAAATAAAAGGAAAAAATGGAAAATAAAATAAAAGAAGCAAAATGAAAATAGGCATGATGTGACTTTTCAAAATATTTTTTTTTTTTTTTTTAGGAAGTGGAAAAAAACTGATCATGCAGCATCACTGCCAACTTTCTTTTTAAACATGACTCCCAACCACAGGATATTCAGCCCTTCTGACTAGTTCCTTTTAAGGGCCCTGTGCAAAAAAAAAAAAAAAAAAAGGCAAAATAGAACCCAGTATAGGGGTCTGCCAAGAGAGGAAGAGCTAAATATAACCAGTAGTCAATTGCCTTACAGTTTAAAGTCTTCATATTCCATTTCCTAAAATGTAGAAATCAGTCATAAATTTGAGGAATGGGCAGGAATGACAAGCTAATGGAAGACAAGCTTCCCTGAAAAGTGCTGGCATTATCAAGTAAGAGAGTTTACAATAAAAATCACAGATGTCATCGCTCTCACTAAATTCTTACATCCTTTCCATCAACAAATCCTGTCATGACCATGTACAAAATCCATTATTTACCATTTTGATTACTGCCCATCCAATTCACGTTTGCTCCTGCCTATTTCCACTGCAGTGACCTCCTGTTAGTCTCTCCACTTTCCTAGCTCTTCCTCATTTCCCTGCCATACCTTTCTCCTCAAAAAAAAAAAAAAAAAATCTCCTTAACATGTAGAGAAAATGAAAACCCAAACCTTAGTATGATTCCAAGGCTCTGTCCTATTTTTCCCTTCCTTATTTTTCCATTCACCTTTAAGCTTCCAACTAAGATCTGTCACACCTTAGCGTCTTTGCACATCCTTTTTCTTCTGCCTGAACTGCTTTGCTCCCTACTCTACAGATTTCAGTTTCTCACGACTTTCTCCAACCTCTTCCTTCCCTACTCTAAATCAAATCACAATTTGCATTTTTTCCAGTAATTATTTGTATGGCATGGATTTTATTTGCCTTTCCTACTCTGCTGAAGCTGTTGTATGACTGGGTAGGGGGTTCATAATACTATCCTCTCTACTGTTGTACATATTTTAAACTTATCATAATAGCTTGAAAATGTTTCCTCGGATCTTACAAACTAAAAGCAATAGTTATTGCCTGCAGTTATCCTAAATTACTTTTCCAACTTTATGTTTTTTGAAAATTTTCCTTTTCATGGTTAATTTTTATATAGTAACCATATTAGAGCCATAAAATGCTGTTGTATTTGAAAGACCACAGTAGGGTTGACTAGAAGTCCAGTGTGCTGGACTTACATCACAGTATGCTGCAACCTGCACAGCTGAACTCTAGAAACCTGTGAGGAGCAACAGGGGATTAAGAAAGACACACAAACATTTACAAAGAGAAAGCTGGGACTAGGTGGGACACTGACCTCTGATGGAGGAACAGTGACCCAGACCTAGCGCAGCACGTTTATTGTATAGGTTTTATCATCAAAAGGTTTTCTGTAGGAAAGTTTCTGCAAAGCAGGCAGACTTGAAGTTCACAGGGCTTAAAAGCAATTATAATTATCTTGTTATGCTCAGAATTCTCTATCCCTGTCAGCTGGTGTCTGAGCTCAAAGTCAAGACTGATATAATTCCATGCCTTTGCACAGAACTTCCTCAGGCAAGGCATCATCATAGCAACTGAGCAATCTTGTGCTGCACCTTTTCACAGAAAGTTCCCAGAGCAAAGCATAGCCACAACTCTGAGACAGTCAAAAACCATGACCCAGGTCACTGTTCTCCACAATGGTACAAGCAGGTTAGAATGCCATAATTTTTAGGCTCCTAATAAGCTGCTATTGGCAAGGAAGTGAATTTTCAACTAACATCAGATAACTTAACAGAAAGGTCTGAAGCTGAACTGTTTCATTTTTCTCACTACTGAAAGCAATAACTATTGCTTTTAAAAGACCAAAGTGTTTTATTTGAAAAGAACCCTAGAATAGGGATATAAGACTTCTAATGTAGTCTCTATTCATCATTTTGGGTGAATCATTTTTCCTCAGTTGTTTGTTTAGTAATTAATATAATAAAGAGATTAATATTTCAATTCAGATCTAAAATCCTACAATTTTAAAGGGGAGAAAACAGCCATAAATAATACCAATGGTTTTTTAAATGAAGCAAACAATTCAATATTTCAAAAGAACTTTTTATCTATTCATTTATAAGGTCACAACCCAGTAGAGCTATTTATACCAGGAGAATCTACAAAGCCAAGAACAGGAAGCATTACATCTCCTTCAGAAGATGTGATACTGTCACTCTCCTCCTTTCTGTTAACATATTTGTGCAACATGCTGTAGTACTGGTCCTTTGGATTGAAAGTATACAGTGTTGAAATTTGCTGCCAGTCTTTAATACTTGGGGTGTTGTATTCTTTTGGATGTGAGCGCTCAAAGAAACATTTAACATTTTCTTTTGCCAATTCAGTGGCATGCTCCTTGGCTTGACTTTTAAATATCTCCTGCTCATTCTCCAAATAAATTTTCCAAAATTTCAGCTGCAGAAAACTAACTGGAGACAGGCATCGGCAGACAGACGTAAATATCACAACGACGATAATAACAACTGCTATGATGATCCAGCCCAGCACCTTAAAAAAACACAACAAATAGCAATTTTTAGTCACTCTTCAGAAACAAAAACAAACTTACAAATCCTCAGATAAAATTTAAATTACTCACCAGCTAGCATGGTGAACAACCCAATAGTCTTTTAAGTCTTAACCCCTTAAGATTAAGGAATGGCAGAAACTTCCCCAACTCCTCAGTACAATTGCTTACTAGGAAAGTCAGACACAGGCCAAGTCATGTCAGGGACCCAGAAGGAGCCCATATGTCTGTCACTCCCCCTAGAACTCAAAATGTGGATTTCCTACAAATGAACACTCTACAGAACCTCTGAGCTTTATAAGCCCAGAGGCAGCGTGGCTGGTGGCTTTAGGTGAGGCAGACCCATTTTATTGTACAGACCCATTTAATTGTGATAATTCTGCTGCTTTCTCCTGCCCAGAAAACTTAACATAGATTCTCAGTTTTCACTCTACAGAGGAGATAATAATACTCCTGCAAAGTTGTGAGAATAATTAGGAGGTAAAGGACCTAGCGCAGCCGGGGCATGCCTACTGTCATCCTCCACCTTTCACCACAGCGCCAAGTACTATATGAGTACTTTTTCTCCTTTTCGTTGGTTTTATTGAATACTTGCCTATGGGTACGTTAGAAACTGGCGCTATTCCAGCTTCTCTTTGGGTGACACCTGTCTGGAGAAAAGTCACTGAATTCTCCTTCACGAGGTTGCCCTCCTGCTCCTCCCAACCCGCGTCCAGCGCCAGCGCCTGACCTGCGACTGAGCCTTGAGTTCCTTCAGGAGGTCTTGGAGGTCGGACTTCTGGTCCTTGCTGCAGGGAACCAGCGGTAGCTGGTCGGTGCAGCCTGTGCGGTTTCTGCACAGGTACGGCCCCAAGACCTTGCTCCCGCTGGCTGCGCATTCATAGAATGAGCCCCCAAGCAGCGCCACGGCCACCCAGGTGAGGGGTGCGAGCGCTGAGGCCACGCCGATCTGCGCGAACACCTTCGCGCCCCGCAGCCCGGAGCTGCACCTCACACGCGCGCCGGGCGCGCAGCAGCCGATCAGTAGGCGCCACGTGCGAGCGCTCAGCATATAGCCCAGGAGGAAGAGCACAAGCGCTGGCACCAACAGGAAGACCAAGCCGTAGGGCAGGTTCCAGGTGGCGCTGCAGGGGCACTGGAACACCACAGTGGAGAAGATGCGCTCCCCGCTTGCCGTCAACAGTGTCACCAGGCCATAACCCAGCGCGCTACTGTGCTTGAGGTGCAGGTCCAGCACTGTCTTAAACTTTTCCATGGCTTTTCCTAACATAGGGAGCCGTGGACAGGCCCAGAAGTTTCTGTCACTTCGCTGCCCTGTTTGTCAGATGAATTGGGTGAACTGGGTCTGGGGCTTTCCAAATTCTGCTGAGAAGCAGCTTTCAAAAAGGGAAGAGGGCTTCTCAGGTCTTTTGAGGTTTCACTTTCTCACTTCAACAAAACCAGCTCTGGCTGACAAAGTTATATACGACCCCTGTTGACTTTGATCTCCCCAGTACCCAACCCTTTCCAAAGGCAGAAGCACCTGTTAGCTTTCTCCTCCAACTCAGGAACTGTGTCAGAAGCACAGCCCTGTTCAATTTGTCATTATCTTTGTTTCCTTCAGTCAGACAGCAAACAAGGGCATTTTCATTGCCCTTTCTGATCAAAGCAGTCACTGAGCAAAAAAGAGGGAGAAAACCCCCAGAATTTCCTCTATATTGTAGTCATCCTAGTTTCTAAGCCAACTTTCAATTCCAAAAGTAATGATCATTTTCAGGAAACGTTTGAAGACAAGTTTTTTCCTTTCATAAATGAAATCACACCACAGCCCAGAACAAAGTCAAGTTCTAGTGCTTCCATGGTATTCTGTCCCCCTCCTGAATAGAACCACTAGCTTCCTTCATATGAACTCTTCTCTCCTAATCTTCCACATGGCATTAGACTGAAAATATTGAATTTATTTACTCATTAATGCAATAAGTATGAATTTTTTTTTCAGATATGCCATAACACTGTCAGTTTCTGGGGGAGTGTCAAATTGTTACTCTGTGACCACCAAGTTGATCAGCACAGAGAGGATAAATGGTTGTTCAAAGATCATTATTTGAACAACAATAACAACAACAAAAAAATCAAACTCCAGCTACATCTAATGCGTTGTTTCCTCTGCCTTCAGTTTTCTCAAGACAGCATTGCTCTGACACAAACTGTAACCACTTCCGTGACACTGAGCCTTACTTTGGTTTCAAAGTGAGGTGAGTTACACTTGAAAGAACATGGGCCTGAAGTTAGGTCCATTGGGACTGTGTGTCTCTTTATGTGTGCAACAAGTTAGCTTCTCTAAGACTCAGCATCCTTGTGGTGAGCCACCTATGGGCTGTGTGTGTGAGCTGTGAGCATTTTGAGCGCACAAAGCAGACTGGACTGATAATGCTGCTCTGTCTGGGCTGTGCACATAATGTGTCCCCTTCGTTTGTTCTGCCTTTGATCATCACACAGCACATGAGATGGACGTGATCTTCCAAGATGTCAGACAATGTGCTGACAGCAAGAAGCTAGACTCAACCCCCTGAAATCTGACCCCTTGCCTCATTTGAATGGCTTCTTCCCAATAAAACCTGGACTCAAGGTACGCTCTTTCTCTTTCTTGCCTCCCTTGTGGGAACTGTGGCTGAGGAGCAGTCATTAAACTCAAAGAAAAGTTACTTTATGTGTCCTTGACTTTATTTATTCTGCCAAAATTCACTTGGAGTGACCCTAATCTGTTTAGTCGTCTGTTKTGACACATCCTCATCTGTCATAGAAGGATAATAGTTCCACTTAAGATTGTTGAGATGAGTAATTGAGTACCATATCACTAAAGTGCTTTAACATAAAGGGTTTGTCATTAATTGAATGCTCAATGTGAGGGATTAATGCTTAAACTGCACCTTTGGGAGTAGAAAAAAAAAACTACACAATAACAAAAATACAAATGAATGCTCAGTTTCAGATGGAGGATTACTTGATGACTCTCTACTGCTTTAGAGAATTGGTGTGTCTCTAAGTTGTGTACCTAACTACAAGGAGGGTATTCAGATCCAAAGATCATTTGGACAGTTTTCTATGAACTAGTTGCTATTGGCATCCATCCATTAAGTTTGCTTAATTCTATTAGGAAAAAATAAGTATCCTATAGAACGAAGTGATTTGCTATAGAAGGGGCAAGAAACATAGGATTCTTTTCTTACTTCCACTTGCCATCTTATTACTTCCTCTCACCACTCCGACCGGTGCCCAGCATAGTACCTACATCAGAACTTCCATAGTGATGTGATAAATACCTATTTTTTTCTGTGTATTTAGAGGCTGACTCCAGATCCTGATGGTTGGGGCCCTATTCTCTGAGATTAGACCAGGCATYGTGTAAACTTGCAGCAAGTTTGCATGTTTGAGGAGAATCACTTTTGCTATGACTTATCTCTGTGATCCTCCATCTTCMAAAACCCYTCCTTCCTTCCTTCCCTTGTGCCTTGGGTAACTCTCCTCTTACTGGTAGACACTTCTTGACCCATCTCACTCCTCTAAGATGTTTTCTCTCTCCTCCACACTTCCCATACTCCAATAGAAACAAATCCACAACTTTTGTGCAGAGAACTGTAGTTTATTCTCCTGCAAGGCTCAAGTCATTCAGCACCATCCCTCCCTCCACTTCACCCCTACCACCTGTCTTCATTTCTTCATTTATTAAGACTTGAATTAAGGTGACAAACTTCTGCTATTTTTTAGTCAAGGCTTCAGTTTCATGTATGTTTAGCTACAAAAACTTCTATCTGTTAGCCCCGTCCCTCACCTAAATTAATCCATTTGTTAGCCAAATGAATTAGTTAGTTCCTCTTTATCAACAGGTGTCCTGTTCTCCTTGAGCGTGTAGCACTAAGGCAGAGAGAGTTCTAAAGTATTCAGGGAATGAAAAGGATATGAAATGTTAGCGTGTCATAAGGAAAAGCTCTGTGAGGAGATGACATCTAATATTTATGACAAAGAGCTTGGTCTGAAAGGTCAGCATGGTGTGAGCATAGAGGGTGGAGAGGCAAGAGGACATGTCATGAAGATAGAGCTGCAAGCAGAAGGTCAGGTTTAAGGGTTTCACAGACCAGAATATATCATTTGTAATTCTGCTATAGAAATTCTTCACAGAATGAATTGCATCCTGACGTACTATCCTGTCATCTTATGTATCTAAACAACGCCTCCTGGGTTTGCTATTTCTGTGTCTCCGGAGTAACATCTGTCTCAGATGCTGGTCACCATTTTATACTCATTACAGGTTTCTTCAACTGTGGAGAGTCCAGGTTCTGCAAGTCAGGCCTGAATTTTCTCTCAGCACTGACATTGACTCTAGGACACTGCTACCCACCTCTGACATCTCCAGATCAGTGGGTAATTCCAGTTATGGGTCTATTAAAAATTTCCCAGTCCTTCATGTCTAATTTGTGTGCTAAGAGGACGCTGCTGAGAATCTCAGCACTCAGTGAAAACAGACTAACATACTAGTGGTGTTGAGAGGATTCAAGAGTTCTTCTTTGAGAGTAGACTACATAATGTTTAAAATAGTAATGTTTAAAAGAACTTTTTAAAAAATCTGATTCTGATGCCACTTTTCTTTAGCTTTTGAGAAGTGAGTGGGAGATTCTCATGTTAAGCACACCAGAAAACCAATGTTTATGGGGTTTGTTTCATKTTCTTTGTGGGACATTGTTTTTCAACACTATCATTTGCAATGTCAGGAATGGGTGTCAGAAACCACAATTTCTCAGAAAAAAATTAAAAGAAACCCTTGAAAGGAAATACATAGCACTCTGTGATTCTGTAAGTTCTTACATTTATCTTCCAGGGAACTGGTTCCCAATCCTTATTCTCTGTAGCTCTCATGAGAACTCACAACTGTGGTATCCTCCCTGCTTGGAATATGACTGCTATGACATTCCTACTCACAGAAGAATATCTTTCTGTATGCATTTTTTTTCTTGTGGTGCATGGAATCAAACGGGGCTTCATGTTTCCTAGGAAAATGCTATGAGCTACATCCCTAGCCCTCTTCCTGCATGTTGAGAATATGAATATTGTTCATGTTAAGCAAGGGATTTGAAAGTCTGGGACACGTTATTATCTTAAGTTTTTTTTAAATAGCCTTATTGAGACATAATTCATGTATCATACAATTCAACCAATTAAAGTGTATAATCCAATAATTTTAGTATATTTACAAAACTGAACATACTAACCCATCACCACATGCAACCATCACCATAATCAATTTTAGTACATTTTCACCACATAAAAAAGAAACTCCGTGACAGTTAGTAGTCATTCCCGTTTCTCTTCCCTTCCCCACCTATCATCTTCCCCTAGCCCCCGGGGGCCCTGTAATTATATCTTTTGACCAACACTTCCCCATTCCCCCACACCCCCWAGCTACTTGTGCCTCTGACAACCACTGTTCTACTTTCTACTTCTAGCACATCAACACCAACACAATGAGCTCTTTCTTAACATTTTTTCATATAAATCATCCTCTTCCTAGGATATTCTCTGTTAGTTCCTCTTTATCAATTAAGTGTTAGTTTAAATATCTCAAAGAAGCTTTCTCTATTAGATGGGTTAGGCTATGCTATGCTGCAATAACCACCGTCGATCTTGGTAGCTTAATACAATTAATTTAATTTCTCACTTCCAAGTCATGTTCCGGTGCACCTATTCCCTATGCTACTTTGAATATTTAGTACCTCCATTTCAACCCAATGCCTCTCTCATTCTCTGTATTAGTCAGAGGTCGCTGGAAGAATAGAAGTGATATAATGSATGATGATGCATTCTATTAGTATGTATGGGGGTTTATTATATTGACTTATATGATCAGAGGCTGAATAGCTCCATAATGGGAATCTGCAAGCTGGAAAGCCARGGAAACTTGAAGCTCCTCCCTCCATGGAGCTGGAAGCCTCAGAACAAGAAAGATCAATGATGCAGCCCTAGTCAGAGGCCAAAGGCCTAAAAGCACCTTGAGACCTCTGTTGCAAGTCCTTGTGCAAAGTTTGAAGACTCTGGAATCAGATGTCAGAATAGCAGCAGCAAAAACATACCAGTTGAAGAAGGGTTGAGCATGTTAGCTTACCTCCTTCCACTTTTTGGTTCCTCTGGGACCCTAGCCTAGCAGATGGTGCCTCCATGTTCAGGCAGGTCTTCCCACACACATGCCAATCTTCTCTGGAAATATACTCTCAGACACACCTG